CCGGAGAGATAGGAGTGGGGTAACCGATGCAGTGCTGCGATGTGTTGGGGCAGTATCTGACTCCAGCCTCATTAAGTAACAAGAAATTGTTGCTTGGTGGGGCTTGGGTGTTTCTAATCAGACGGTTAGGTGGGAATAGGACGGTTGAAGAATTGGACGGAAAGGAGTGGATGGGATTGGAATGTTATGGTGATTGCAATTCAACAAAATCTAAGGATTATATCATGCAAGCATGCAAAATCAACAAATCACATACAACATACATACCATGCAAACATGCAAATCAACAAATTACATACATCATACATACCATGCAAATCAACAAATCACATACCATTATGCATACCATACAACATGCAAGTTAACAAAATTAAAGGATCACATTCATCATACAAGCCATTCAAATATACAAGTCAACAAAATCAAAGGATCACATATATTATACATGCCATGCAAATATGCAAGTCAACAAATTTAAAGGATATTTTATAATTCATTAAAAACATTCTCAAATTAATCAAATAAACAATGGACATTATTAAAAAAAAGCATTAATTACTTAAAAAATAAACATTTTTTGACTTGCATTAGATAAATTAAATAAACATTATGCAATCACCATAGGAGGGTTATTTAAAAATTCTAACTAGAACACTGTAATTGTAATTATAATTAATAGTAATACTATTTGTAATATTTAAATTTATTTTAATAAAAAAAAGTATTTTAAATAATATTAGTGAAAATTGTTAAGCTGTGTGTCTGAATCTGACTGGTCGCTTGCTTAGTTTAAAATGGCAGAAGCAAAAGGTATATTGTAAGCAGTAGAGTAGTCTTTAAGCCCTTGTTTTATAGAATTGTTAATTTTCCCGTCCTTCAAAAGGGCGTGGGGTGCCGGTAGAAACGCTGGTGGATAATTAGATTTGTTATTACAGTGAGGGAAACTTATATCGTTACTTTATTTAGATTCTAAAAATTTCCATGGTCACAGTAAACTCACTATCTAACAAATACTAATTAAACTCGAATTTAACGATGAACTGTTTAGCGAGTCTAATAAAATGAAAGATTTTACCAACGTTGAAGAAGGTTTTTAATCAATTTATCAAGCAACCTACCAATAAATGTGTATTAAAAAATAAATTTAACGAAATGTTGAAAGAAAAGCTGAAGTTATAAACAGTTTAAAATGTACATTTTCTAAGGTGAGTTACTTGATAAATCAATTTAGATTCAGACTGAGCTTAAATGCTATGATTATAGCACCAGGAATACCATATTATGTAATGACTTCAAACCCAGTTACAAACGAATACATTGTCAAAAATATAATACTGCGAAGCTTATATAGTTTACAATATGTTAATTAATTGATGATAAATCATTGATATTAAAAATCAACTTTGAGGATTTTATTATCATGAATTCAATGTACTGTCATATGGTTGTGACATAAAAATCAAGCTCTCTCGAGTGTATCTCCGCAAGATCCTATTCCCGTATTGCTGTTCCCGTAAGCCCTCGTTGCTGATGAAGTTTAGTGTTCTATCAACTGCTAGATGAGATTTATTTGTTCGTTTTTCGATGCAAAATACATGTATACTGTACGTATTTATTATAATTAAAAGTATCAGTATATTTTGTCTACTTCATCTTTTGACGACTAATAATTCAATTTTCCCATCTTTTATTTGTACTTTGTTTCGCAAAATAATTGTATGTAAAAATTCATCATTCTTGTCTTGAATATTTTGTCTTTATTTTATATGAATTATTGCTGCTTAACTTTTAGAAAGTTTAAAAGCTTTAAATTAAGTAGCGAAAAACCAAAGATATATGGAGATTGTATGTTTCCAATTAGGAGAAATAGAACCCATTTTTTTATACTTTGAAACATTCTCAAGTTTAGTGTTAATCGAAAGATTCCACATACGATATGATATACATAATTGAGTGATGTTTATGTATGTGTCGAATTTTCTATTCAAAGAAATCTTAGTGTTGTTATTTGTGTAAAGTAAATAAGATGAGATCAAATCAGATCAGATTTAATATACTGTCTAATTGCATAATTTTTAATTAGCGTTAGTATTAGACAATAGATTTTACGTTTTATTGGTGGGTACAGTCTAAATGTATTCAATTAAACAGTCGTGAGCCAGAGTTGTGATTTATTCAATATTGATCGATATTAGCTTGATTGCAAAATTTTCGGTTTTTCCAAACTTCAGCATTAATGAATTCAACGAGTTCTTTTTTGATATTTTAGATTTGAAACTGCTTTTGTTTCTTAATTCCGATTTAATAGAATTCAACTATAACAAGGGAGCTAATTAACTGTATTAGTAATAACGATAAATTACAATATATCTACATTAACAATATAAATACAAGTTATACAATAAATATAATCGCCCTATTCATTAATCGCTTCCATTCTCTTCATAATCTAATTCAACGTTTGACAACACGTTCAATAACGCTTTTCCAGCAATCTCTTCAAGATAAGAGACACGCACTGGATCCACAAATTCATTAGTCTTTCGATCCATAAAAACCATCATCATTGCCGCGACTCGAATGCTTTTCTTATTTGCTTGTGATTCTTTAATAGGTAAAGGTGTAGAAACTTTTGCCATGTGAAATAACATAAAAGTTTCCATTTCTAATGATCGTGCGTCGGGATATTTGACGAGTATTTGTTCAATAAGATTATGATTTGCGTCACAAAAATTGTTATCTAGACGCCCTTGTGACGAGTAGAAACTATCACAAGAAGCATTTAGACCGGTATGCAATTCAGACTGTGGTAAATGTCGTAATAACTCTTTTTGTAACTAAAGACAATAAGATAAGATTAGATCATTTACTCTTATTTTATTGAATTCGCTCAGTAGACGTTTACCTTTGAACACAAGTCTGGATCCGCATAAAATAATTTAGTAAAATTGTAGGGTTTGGAGTTTGGTTCCGCGTCATCCGCGAAATAATCATAATTTCTTAATACGGCAAAAGCACCGTGCGGTACCATCATCGATCCGATTGTTGCGGGACCAATTGAACCACACGATCCAAAACGAATAATTATTAATGGGCCATCAACTACAGCACGAACTTCACGTACAAAGAAGTCCATCATCGCTAATCCCTGTAATGCAAAATTGAACAATAAGCATGAATTTCAGTTTGATTTTAAGAAAAGAATATAAATACCATTCCGATGGAAACAATGCTAATCGGTACACCGTGATAACGACCGGTTTTAATAAAGAATCCACGATCTGATTCAATTGTTACTATTGGTGAATTGTCGTCTAATAATTTTGCGATAGTACGAGCACGAGAAGGATCACCGACTGTTATTATTCGATTAGCGACTAAATAAAAATTACACAGTGCAATTATTAATTATTCACTTAATTTCATAATTACTGTTAATTCAACAAGCAATGATAATAATGGTTTTACCTTCACCATGTTTAACCCCAACATGATAAACACGTCCGTCAGCGGTTTTCGGAAAATTGGCGTTTGTAAACTTGAATTGCATTTTAAATTATTCTATGTATTTGTAAGGATTTGTCTTTTATTTGGTGATTTTTAATAGTTAAAATGATATATTTTTTTTCCGAAGGATAAGTGTCAAAGAAAAACAAGATCAAGATAAAATTTATCTCCTAGATTATTTTTATAGTAGAGACCATTTCTATTTTTATAGTTACCATACAAATAGAAATTCTAATTGGTACCAATATCGATATGTACAATTACGTTTTTTAGATCATATGACTTAATAGGTGATATCGATAATTACGTATATTAGATCATATGACTTTCAATGAAATGATATTTATCGAGTATCTTCCAGAATTTATTTTATATAGATACTCTCTTTTTATAGATTCGAAATTGTATGATAATAAATTAGAAAAGTCACTTCTGTCTATCTATACTTCACCAACTACGTCTTGATCAACTGCCAACAAAACTTTGGTTCTTCCCCAATTAGTATCACTTACCTGCCTGACTCTTTTCTGAACGGTATCAATCTCGACCAATCGACCTCCATTAATCACATAAATATTATTTCCAATCGCAGTAGCGCTTTTAACATCCGACCACGACCGTTTTGCTCCTTCGTGATCATCACTTCCCTCAAAAAATGGTGTATATGTGCCGGTATTCGGATCAACCAACCATAATCCGTGGCAAAACGCGTACAATATTCCATTTATTCCAATTAACGCTCCGCAGGTAGACCAATTATCCCATCCACCACCCAATTTAATTACTTGTTTCTCAATAGTATCCACAACCCATAAATTATTGGCGGATGTGGTCGCGAAGATTTTATGACCGATGCTTGCCGCCGCATTCACTCTCGCCCATACATCAGCAAATCCTCCCAAAAAATCAGTGTAATGACCGGTATTCAAATCATCGATTAACCATAGTTTATGACAGAAAGCGAATAGAACATGTGTAGTCCCACCAGGTTTCAGGACAGTGACCAATGCATTGCACGTACCCCATCCATCCCAGCTTATTTTTCTCGTTTCCCCGGTATCCTTTTTTAACGTTATCTCCCACAGGTTATTAACCGAGGTTGTCACATAGACTTTCTGTGTGGAGGGATCCAAGGCTCCAGCATTTGTCGTTGCCCAGTCTTCGTTTAGATACTCTTTATAAGCACCGGAATAAGGATTTATTAAGTAAATGTGCCCAGCGATGGCTAAAAGTTGTTGAGGTTTGCTGTTTGTTGTCATTCTTTCAAACACAGAAAGATAGAAACAGATAATCACCGCACCTCGACAAAGCACAAAAATCTAGTACTAATTCATACTATTCGTAGATCACTAAATAATTTAATTCTAACAGCAGCCACTGTTTATCAATTTTTTTTTTGCGCGGTGTAACTTTGTACCCTGAAGGAAGGAAATGGCGGCACAAAACGAAATTCAAGAAGAGTAACCATCGTCTTTTATTAAAAAGCTATGTTTCTTTTTATCACTTCATTAATTTTGTGTTTTTCCTCGAAAGATTTCCAGACCTTCCTGAATTAGTGCATGTGCCAAAGCCAATTACTAAAAATACAAATGACGACAATAAGGTTGCACCAAATAACGACAAAGAGAATGAGCCTGAAACTGAACACTCGAAAGAGAAGGACAATGAAGATGCTAAAGAAAGTCGTAAAGTAACGGTCGTGGACTGCGAAGAAACCGAAGATAACGATATCAAGAATAACGAAGAACAGGCAGGAGAAAAGAGCGGTTCTACTAATGTGACTTCGGAAACCAATGAAAACACTACGTCCATTCAAGTAAATCCTGTCAAAAAGAAGAAGAAGAAGAAGAAGAAGAAGCCTGCTAACGATGCGAATATCGAGTTCGATGAAATTGGTCCACGCGATGAAGATGCAGATCGTGTTTACGATCTGTATGTTATTTTCATTATGTGTTAATTTGCTGTTTCTTTCTCTAATTCCCTTTTATTTATCAGTTCGAAGCCAATTTCTCAACGTGTTGAGATTGCCGTTCAAAGATATAAAAAGAATCGTAAGTTTAACGCGGTTCGGAATCAAGTGTTTGAATCCTATATGCGTTTCGGTGGCATCGAGACGGGCCCCAAAGCATTTCAGGGACAAGGAGATGAAGAAGATGGTGAAGCTGATGCTGAGGAAATTAGAGAACGTCGTGCTGTCAACTTCGTTGAAGAAGATCGTGTCGAAGGCATGGAAGTTGATTTTACTTACACTGTGACAGTTTATCTCTCAAGTTATCTGATTGACAAATCTGGTTATGTATATATGGATCAGTTTGTCGAGGCACCCATAGTTGTAATTTCTTTCATTAATTACCTCGTGAATCAGAGAGTATGCCCGGAATATAACGATGATATGCAACGAGCCTTGACTATCGCGAAACAAGCAAAAATAGAGCTGCCATTATGTAAACGTTTGGCTCAACTCACACCTGGTAGATTCAATAAAGCTTGTTCATTATTGTTTGGCGGAGAACTATTTGGTTTGCTTGATGATCCTTGGGAAGGTGAAGAGAAAGCTGCTAAAATGCTTGGAATCTCAATGTCTGAGGCCAAATCGATATTTAGAGAAGTGACAGGTCAGGAACATGCAGCTGTTAATCTAAATAATAAGATGACAAGAATATCAGAAGAGATGGATGTAATTGATATTGACTCTCATCCTATTTCAACACCATTCGATCCTAATGTTAGTAATAGTACACAGGACAATTCTACACAAAACAATTCTGAGAATGACCATGATACTACCAATCCTACATCAACTATTCCCATAGAAAATGGCGCCAACTTTGAAAATGTTGCACCTAATTCATTATATAGAATTTATGTTCGGAAACATGATCATCCCGAAAGTGTACTGATACCAATTTTGATTGGCCCGGAATTAGCTAAAAACGTTATACGAGGCATGTTTATAACTGCCGATTTTTATCAGCTCAATAATGGAGTTTGGTACTGGGATAGAGTTACGAATGTTTACCCAACATATTTCCTCCAGGGCGATCCCGATTCTGATGACGATGAATAAAGGAACATTGTCTAGTGTTTGTGAAGGAGTAGCGTGAGTTGCTTTGTGTTGTGAATTATTAATTTAAATTTGATTGGGAATTATTAGGGAATACAATAAGTATCTCATGTATAATAAATAATAGTAGTAGATTTTCGCGATGAACTTTTTCAAAAAATAATATCTTTAGTAGAAAAAAAATTTAACGCATGATTTTAGGTTCAAATGTCCATTATTTGGCCTTGTAAAATATTGCTAACGAAAAAATAGCTTGATTTTCACCAAAAGACCAAAATACTATCTGACCAAGTAATATTGTATTGCTATTTTTACAATAATATATAGTACTGTCACCAAATGACATATTACCCATAAGCTAAACAAAGTCTAACTAAATATAAATGATTTCATTTTAAATAATTTAAATAATTACAAAATAATATTATAACTGTATAAATTTATTATTAAAGAAAATTATTTACTCAAGGGGAAACGCTCGTGTCAATTTCATCGTATCGGGGTTGACTAAAGTCTCCTTGAGCTTTTGCGGCAAGTACCGCTTCTTTTCGTGTATTAAGATGCTGTAGTGTAGCACGAAAATGTTTCACTACAAATTCCGATATACCACCTTCAGGTTCCACTAAAACAGAGGAAGCTGAAGTCGGCGGATGTTGATCAAGATTATCAATACCACGAATATTTGTATTAATCAAATCGATTAATCCATTAAGGTATTTTACGGTAACCTATTCAAGAAGACACATATTAGCAATATAATAAGATGTCTAAAAGTAGTATGAAATGATCACATACAGCATCATTCTGTCGCTCGAAGTAATATATACATCTATTCAGAATCTCTACAAATAATTCAACATTGGTCACTGAATCCATACAAGAATCAGCGATCTTTAGAGATTTTTGTAAGCAATCTAGAACTTTTTTCCCGTCTCGATAAAGTTCCTATATATGATATAATTAGTTCGATTGATCTATACCATTTAAATGAATCAATAAAATAAATGAATAGATTAACAACCGTTGGGGTTTTTTCATTTCTACCATCAATTTCAGTGGCCCACCATAAATGACTGGCCAAATAAACTGCTCGACATTGGTCCGGTTTCTTCAGTAGTTTGCTGCCATGCAGAGCACATTTTGTGATTAGAGTATCATAATTTTCAGGCCCAAATACTCTAGTCGCTTGTAAAGTTCCAATGATAAGTGTGATGGCTTGGAATTGTTCTCTAGATCCAGATATTGATTCTTCATAGATAGTAAATGCCTAAGATAGTATTAATTTGTGAGAAAATAATAGTTGATTTCTGATTTTTGTAAAAATTTCAAATTTTTTTGATATATCATTACCTGAACGAAAAATTCATAGCAAATTTCTTCAAATCCACATTCATCCGCACTTTGTCCAGCAAGCAAGAAAAGCCGCAGACAAATAGACGAACATTCTGATTTTTGACAAAGAATAGATATAATCTGATGTATAAAACGAAATAGTGTTGATGTTTTCTTCTCCCAGTTATCGTCTTGTACTTCTAAAGCTTTATAGCTTCTCGCAAGCTTAATAGCCGATATCGCAAGAGGCGGGAAAGTATATCGTATCCTCTCGCCACCTTCCGAAAATTGCTTACGAGCTGTTGATAGGAGCTATCAATATTATATACATTAAATTCAGTATATTTCTCATTTACAATGAAAAATTTACATTAAGGACAGACAGTTTAAATTACCATGAATTGACTGTCAGGATCATCATTCTTAAATAGGTGAATGATTCTAGCGAGCCATCCCTGTTCCTCAGCGAATTCCTCAGGTTCCATAACTGGCTCCTTGTTACCCCTAGAACTTCGCCCAGTAGTAAAACTGCTAAAGGGACTTGACATTACAGCATCTTTTTGATCACGAATAAGTACGCTACAAAGATCAAGAATACCATTTACTTCCTCCGCTGTGTCTATATATGTTTCATACTTAAGAATTGATGCTACAATCGCATGCGCAACTGAACGACGCGTAGCAAATGGTTGAAGGGCAAGTAATTCGGTATAATTGGGCAACGCAAGAAGTGTAAGAACGGTATTATATGAATTTATTGGAGCAAGCAAAAGGTTTAAAAGGTTGTTGATAGTAATTGAATTATGGAGATCTGGATTTTGGCTTGATGTTTATGTCATTATTAATCACTTGTTTAATAACGCAAAAAAAAAAATGGTGCAAGAAAAATTAAAACTTTAAGATACCTCTCACTGAACTCGATAAATTTGGATTTAGCGAATTCAATAACTTGATCCACATATTCAATTTGATCAGGATAGCAACTGAGGGACAAATTAACTAAAGAGACCAACAAAGCAGTAATATCTTGAATTGATAAATCAGGTCGCGCCTAAGATAATAAAGCTATCGAATCAACAAAATAAAGCTATACCCAATTGATAGCAAATTTAACCGATAAAGAAAATCAATTTCTTCTAAACAACACAAACCTTCACCAGGTTAACTATTTGATCCCAAAAAACTTCAAATAATTTAACATCCTCTGGAATTCCTCGGAATTTTTCTACCCCATGTTCTGGTAAATTATTTTTTTCATCTTTTTGCTCCAATTCATCTTTTTGCTCCAATTCATCTATTTTCGTTTCTAAATCATCTTCAATGTTTTCATTACTGGAAAGTTCTTTCTCTGTTAAACCATTTTGAAAATGATCTTCTTCATGTCCTAGTTTATGCTTAATTTTTTCTGCTAATCTTTTCTGAGCCTCCTCTTCTTGGCGCTTGATTTCTTCTGCAGGCTCAGACTCAGCCTCGCGAGCAGCATATGCGGCTAAACGATCAATCAATGCTATCACTATTTGTTTTACATTCACCTTAGGATGAAGTTGCGCTGTTGCCGATAAATAAGATCCTAGAGTTCTGAGATGGAAATCGTCGTGAAACACCTAGATATCAAAGTTATATAATCAATGCGGGTTCTTTAAAGAAAAAAAATGAAAGGTTACTCACTTGAATTATCACTTCCATTAGATATTCTTGTGCTATTACATCTTTACAATTGATGACTTGTTCTAAAATAGCGGGCAAAATTTTCTGATACAATTTCGTAATAAATAAAAAGATTTAATACATTAATTAATTAATATTCATTAATATTTTGCTAACATTGAATCACCTTTTGATACAAAGTCAAATCGACACCATCTAATTGACTTAATCGAACCAAATTAGTGCCAACTAAGATTTTTAATTCTTTGCGTTCCATTTCGCGTTTTTCGCGATCACGTGAGTGTCCTTGATGCTGTAGACGAACCCAAAGTTTGTTCATCTCGATGAAATTTGTAAGTATAAAGGAAATGGAATCTTGAAGATTTCCCGTAGATCTGAATAAAAGAATAATTCTCCACTCTAAATAGATTGTGCGATTTTGAGCTCAAATATATTAATTTCAACATACCCTTGATCATTTCCAACGGGTAGCGAGTCCCTAGTCATCCCGCTCAAATAATATCTCAAGAATAAGCCACGAGTTGGATGTTGTACACCACGCGACATTTCCATCATATCCTTCATTATTTCTTTGACTGGTGCATCTTTTTGTGACATATAGCAGCTTCCTACTGTGATCATTAGGTACAATCGAGGGATAATATTTCCAGCATATTGAACCAATTCGTAAAGATCAGCCAAGTGTTGCTTTCCCGAGTTGTGAGCATCATTCAAATATATGGTGAGGTGACGAAGAGCATCAAATATAGCCATGTAAAGCTCATAATAGTTTTTTGGCGTTAATGCAGAAGTTCGTAGTTCTGCCAGCATTGCAGAACAGTGTTTCAGACCATCCATTAGCTTATTGTTGTCAATGCAACGCTTCATTTGGTACGCTTGCCCCTTCACCACAATTAACTATAAATAATACACCAAAATTTACGTTTTTTAGAAGTAAAATAATAAAAAAAAATTATAAATAATCGTAAATTGCTGTAATACCGCCTCTTCCAAAAGCTTTGCCTGATCTTCTAAGGAAACCGGTGTTGAGACCATTTTGCATAGTGTTCGCTACAGTAGACAATAATTTTCTTTTGAGGAATTTCAGGAATAAAGTTCAAGGTTTGGCAAATCATGTGGCCAGGTACTAACGCTAACAAGTAAATGGTCAATCAAGATGATCATTTTTATTTTTTTTTGCGAACAAATTTTTAAATGTCTTATTTTGACCCTCTTAACTTAATCCTCGAGAAATCAAGTGAGTACCCAATACTTTTATTAGCATGTACATATCTTTTGCTAAATATATCGAGTTTTTCTCATTCTTGGATATAAATTCAGCAGACAATCAACTCATGACAAAGAATGAAAATATAACGAAAGAAACTCTTTCACCGGCAGAAACAGCTACAAAACGTGCTACAGCAAAGAAACGTGCCCGATCACCTCCGTTATCCTTGACGAAATGTCAAGGTTGCAATGCTCTTGTGGCAAAATATAAATGCCCACGTTGCAGATTTCGTA